CATGAATTTTGCATTGTGGGGGATAGCGCAGGCTGGAAGATAAGGAAGTGCATGATTATAAGGCCTCTAACTATCATCATAGATAATGAAATAGCCTAATGTAGAAGCAGCAGTACATCTTGAAGTGAAATTCACTCAGACTTTTGAAACTGAGCTGTTTGGGGGATTTTTAGCTCAGTTTTATTGCAGTTCTTTGGAGGATTTTTAATACAGAATTTTGAAAAGCATATTTGGGAGGCTGGTTTTGATTTACAGTAAATTTCCATTTTCTGATTTCTGGTAAGTGGATTGAACTCAGCAGGACGGGTATATTTGGACTGGTATCTAAAAGCTGGTGATGTCTTGATGTGATATACTCTACAGGTAATTATTCCAGAGGTTGAGACCAGAGCAGGATTGGCTTTGAAACCCAAAATGTTCCCTGTTACTGTTACAGACAGACCAGTAATGGATGTGACCTTCTCTCAGTTTTTGGCATCCGTCTCAGGGAAGATCTCTTGTTTAGGTAAGCCAGTTTTGAAAGTGAAGTGGAAATGGGAGCAGAGAACGTTAGCACTACATGTGTGAATGAGTACTGTTTAGATCAAGGCACTTGCTGTGGTTAGCTCCATCAGCAGGTAATTAAATTTAACTTCCAGCATATAGATAAAGTAGCTCTTTTTTCGGGAGACCTTACAGCCTGATAAGGTACCTTAATAAAGTTTGGAGTAAAGTTATGTACCTATTTTTAATACTTGCTAGGAATAAGTAAGTATTCCTTCCTCAGGAAGGAAACCTGACCTGTTTGCCTTTCTCCTAAGGTGGGTAAGTTCTGGAAGGAAGTGCTCCTGGCTGACATTAGGGATACTGTACCTCAATCTGAAAAGTATTGGAAGCAAAATAGACATTTAAAAAAAAAAAAAAAAAAAGCAGTGCATGTAAAAGTCTGTAGGATAGAGGCTCAAGCTGTTGACAGAAGCTTGCAATCTCTGTTCTCTTTCATAAGCTTTTGTCTTTATTTTAGTGTAAGGTTCCTCTCTCCTGCTTTTTTCCTTAATTACCCACTGATTTCAGCAGATGATGATTGGAGCTTGGCTTTTGTCATTTTTACCCTTTCCTTTTTCCTCTCTGAATCCCTCTGCACTTTGTGTTCTGTCTCTCAGGTGTTTACTAGGTCCTGTAGTCTCTGAAGAGCAAGATGGACCCAGGGATTTAATGTTGGCCTTTGGTTGTTACTTGCTGTTAGATAAAAGAATATGATGAACAGTCTCAAACTTCCGGAACAATGCAAAAAAGAAATAAGAGTTATAATTGGAAACATTCTCTACTAGAAGAGAGCAATCATTTTAATGTTAGCACACATGAAGCTTACTTGGAGTGGGGGGTTTTGGAGGCAAAACTGGCAAGCCAGAATGCAGTCTCATTTTCTGCTGTCTTTTCTGCATAGATGCTTGTGGTGATCTGATGGTGACATTACAGTCTGTGAGCCGCCAGGGTGAAAAACGCAACCTGCAGCTCTCTGGAAACATGGACTCAGTGGCCTTCACATTTGAAAATGTGCTACCTGGCAAATACAAAGGTAGGGTTATGGGAAACTGCTTGAAGTGTTACCTTAGTAGCTGAATTTGTGACTGAATCTGTATACTTCTGTTATTATGGATACCGTTTACAGTATGCCCAACATGGAACTAGTTCTGAAACTTGAGAGAATCTGGAAAAATACTATACAACAGTGCATCAAGTGTTCTTAATGTTGTATATTTAACACTTCTGTCAGCTTACAGGTAACCGCTCCCCTAAGTTTTAGGGTCTACATGGCTGGTGTGAGGAAAAAGGGCTTTATCACGAACTGACTTGTCCCAAGCCTAAGAACAGGGGCACAGTATGGTTCTTCTGCTTCCACAGTACCTCTCCTAAGAGCAATACCGGTTTTGGCCAGCCTGCCTCGGCCTACTATGAAAAGAAATTGTTTTCCAGGGAAAGGTGTAGAAGGAGTATATACAGATTGCTGTTTTTATACACGAGTCAGAACATCTTTCTACCAGGTGAAATTGGAGTCAGGTTCTGATGTCCTCTAGGCTTCTTTGACTATCACAATGATAGTGCACATTGCAGAACTTTCCAGGACGATCAGACCTCCTTATTCCTTTTTATAATAGCTTTTCTGTTACGAGATATGCTGGATTCCTAGTGATACTGCAGTGCTGTGAGCCAGGTCTGTTACTGCAGTCATTGTTGTGTATCTGGCTTTGAAGCTCATTGTCAGGAAAGTTAGGGTGATACAAGCTTTTTATACCACAAAACCTGCCCTTAGTCACACATTACTAAAATGCTTTGTGTGGTGTGTATTCTAGTAAGCATTGTACATGAAGACTGGTGCTGGAAGAATAAGTCTTTGGAATTGGAAGTCATGGAGGAAGATGTTTCAGGAGTAGAATTCAGGCAGACTGGATATATGCTGAGGTGTTCTCTTTCTCATGCAATTACACTGGTATGTAGGTAACAAATGTTCTTGTCTTTTTTTGATGACCTTGTGTAGGTAGGTTGGATTATGCTTGGAATCAAGGCTTTCTCATGTCTCTAGGGAGTCCTATAGCACAGCAACATCGATGTTTAGAGTGCTTTGAGATTTGTCTCTTAGATTTGGTAAAATGGTCTTGTGTTGTTAGCTGCTATAAAAGAGAAGCATTAATGTATCTTTAAGGAAAATACTGTTTTCATTTTGTTGTTTGGTAGTTACTAATAGTGAATTGTGTTGTGGCTTCACAGGAATTTTATCAAGATGGAAATGGACCAGAGAACGTTGGTGTTTATAACCTGTCCAAAGGAGTGAATAGATTCTGTCTTTCAAAGCCAGGTAACAGCGCTAAAATCTTAGTTTAAAAAATGAAAAAAATGAAAATCCACTAATACTGCTGGGAATAAAAAAAAAAATCTGTTGTGGTTGCTGAAAGGCATTGTTTTATTTACATCTGTATATAAATGCTCTGTCCTAAATTTTTAGAATTATCTGAAGTAAAATAATTTTTTTGTTTTGGACTTGGTGAAGGGCTTTGATCTTTGATGAATGAAGAACATGTTAAAATAATCTTGTTCATATGGGTTCTATTTGTCAGTCACATTAGAACATGACTGACAAAACAAAGTTTCATTTCAATACAGGATTCTGCAGGGATAACTGTTAAAAAGTACCACAGGGTTATCTACAACAGGAAAAAAGAATGTTATAAAATTAGATTATTTTTTTTTTCTCTTTTTAATGTCTTAGACCTAATTCTCTGTTATGGTCTCTTAGCAAAACAGTCAAGAAATGTATTTGGTTTTGATTCAGTTTGCAGCTTTGAACATTTCATCCTTGCAGCCAGTGGTCTCCTTCACAATACAATAATACAATGGTTCTATAATCAGTCAAAGGGTATCAGCTGCGGGACCACAACAGGTTACTTTGAGCTTGTTTGGTTTGTTGTGTTTGTAATTATGTTTATCTGCAGTGATGCCTATTTGTGGTTTGTATCAGTGTACATTAGAAACTGCGCAACTTCCAGTAATGATCTATGACTGAACAGAGGTGAATTAATTTACAAGTGTCTATGTGAAAGGCAGTAGATACATAGTCAAATTTTGTAATTGTTTCTATACCTCAGGTCTCGTGTGATCTTGAGAATTCAGCCAACACAGTAAGCTTGAATTTTTTCAGTGAATCATTCTTTGACTTTGACATGATCATTCTTTGACATGTTTACAGGTGTATATGAAGTGACCCCACGTTCCTGCCACCAGTTTGAACATGAGTATTACACTTACGACACGTAAGAGCAAAATCTGGTTTTGATCTTATGCCTATCAGTATGCTTTCATAAAGCTTCCTTCTGCTGCAGCTGCTTTTTTTCAGCAATTCAGGATGTGTTGCTATGACGGTCTCTAACCAATAGAGGGAAGCTTTAGCAAAACGTATCAGATGTGTTCTCTTGCCCTTTGGAGTCTTAAAAAAACCAGTCAACTAATGATAGGCTTTAAAGATGCTTTTACTACTTTAAATGGATATTTTTGTCAGCCTTCTGTCTGTTTAATGTTGCTTTTGCTGTGTAACAAAGGAGAGATATTTCAGTGGAAACTGTTCCTCACTTGTGAGAGTTTAAATGCAAAAGATAGGATAGTAAGTTTACTAAGAGGCATATATGACCATTCTACGTCCCGAGTGCCATGACTCTGTGGTGATTTGATTCTGCTCACCTCAGTTTTTGCAAACTGAATAAATATTCACCCTAATCACAAGTAAGCAGTGCTGCTGTTTCTAAGTCAGCCATGTTTTATTAGTTATTTGTAGGTCGTGGTCTGGCAATGCGCTTAATGGCTCTGTGCTGCCAAAAAGAGGATTTCTGTTCCCAGACTAGTTATAATTCATGAACATAGCAGAAAGCAAATTCAGCATTAAAATCTGATTTTTTTCTACTGTGTTAGTGAATTAAAAGTACTTCAAAGAGAGGTATGCTCAACAGGAGAGCCAGCACAAAGTGAGTGAGTGGATAGAAGCAGAAACCCTCTTTTGGCAGCAAAGCACCATTAGACTTGGGGCATCTTGGTGAACTATGTCTAACAGGACAAACTTTTCAGTCTTCTGCTGTGTGTAAAGGGGTTGTACATATGAAATCAATCAGATCAGCTTTAGCTTGAGAGGAAGCAGGAAGCACAAAGGAAGGAATTGATTTGGCCAATGTCATGCAGTGGTTTGGGGTTCAGAGCTGGAAAATGCTCCCTTTCCAATATGCTATCATCTCAGTGCTACAGCTTTGCTGTGTAATTTGTATGTCATCTTTTATAAAGCACTTCAAACTTAAGGATGGGAACACAAACTCTGCTAAATAAGATTTGGTTATTTTCTGTAGGAGGGGAACCTTGAATTAATCTCTTTGTTACTTGGATTTACAGGTCCTCGCCTAGTATACTGACGCTCACTGCAGTTCGACACCATGTCCTTGGCACAATTGTAACAGATAAACTGATGGATGTGACTATTACCATTAAGTAAGAACAAAGAAATCTTGGGGCTATAAAAAGTGGAAGAAAAAGACATCTCTCTCATAAAGTTGTACTCTGGTTTTAATACTGCAGTGGCTGCTTTCTAAAGGGACAGCATCCAACTCTAGACTGTAAGAGGTTTTTATGCTAAGCTGTGCTTTGAGTTCTTTGTAGATACATAAATAATTCCCAGCCCTTATTTTGAACATTGTCACTTCATTTCAATATAGCTGCTTTCTACTTGTGTGTCATGTTAAAAAGGAATGATTTTCTGAGTTTTTATACACTTTAATGAACGGAAGTTTCAGAATTCAGAGGGTATTGTTTTAGCTAAGATCTGAGCTCTTTAGCACCGGCACCTATTTTTTTCCTTTTTTGTTTCCTCAGAATGAGAATCTGCTGCTTTAGAGCATTGTTACTGGTGTGAAGAGGGTTATAAAAGGAAAACCATGCAGTGATTACACGCTAATGTGCCAATTTATGTTTAGCTGAACAGACAGCTCGCTAGGGAGCACTGATTTGTGAACAGCTTTAATTGTATGAGGTGCCAGATCTGCCTGGAAGTGTCTGATAATGATAAGTGCTTTGTTAATG